CTCTCTCCCCCTCTCCCCCCCCTTCTCTCCACTGTCATTTGTTACTATGAAAATTAGTTGGTCGATGAGTAGGAGTATTCTTTACTGCCAACCACTGCTAAGAAGGAAGAGAATATATTCTACTCTCTATTATGACTTGCTGAAGAGAAGAAAAAGGAGTAGAAAAAATATTCCCTGCTATAATTTACTACTGAAAAGAAGAAATGAAAGAAGATACTTCTTTGCATTGCCACCTGACATTACTGAGAGGTAGAGAAGAAGAGAGAAGAGAAGACAGAAGCTATTTCTCTGCTTTGTTCCTGTCATTGTTGAGAAGTCAAATCGAAGCCTTCAAAGGAGTAGAATTGGAGAACTTTTGACTGACTTTACAATATAGTTCATTGCTTTTTCTTAACTTAGGCAATAGACCATATCACTACTGCAGCTGAAGATATCAGCTAAACATCAATCCAGAAGTGATGCATACTATAGCTATTGATAAAGTTATAGAAAATCCATCTGAGCAGAGGAACAGCTTAGAAGCAGAGAGGCAGACCAGAGGATCAACTGGTTTGACTGAGACTTCATGTCCAGTGCGGATTTTGTCAAGCATAATGTGGATCAGTTCAGGTTAGCAATAGAGGCATCTATTGCCCAAAAGATTTGCTCAAAGTTCCATGGACAGTTTCAAGATGGAAAGAGGACAACAAAGTCTAGAGTTCTAGAAATGTGAGTTTTACTGGGCATACATATTCCTTATACATGTGTCTCATTACACTAGAACTTTAAATGTGTTCTACTCTCCCAACATACACTGTGTGCATTGGTGGGAGACTTTGATCGAGATTTATGGGTGGAATGATATGTAAATATCATATCCTTGTTTCGCATTTTCAGTAGATGTTTTGGTTTAGATTCATTGAGAATTAGTAGCCTATTTGTTAATGGGAAATACACCAGTAGGGGTTCATGGTCTATAATGTTAGTAGGTATTATTCCCCAGGACTCTGAAAGTTAAAGTAGTAAGTACAGAACCTTCACCATGAGGAACCAACCAAATTGCCAAAGTATATAGGTGAGGTGAATGAGCCTGACCCAGCCCGTGGAAAGAGTCAGAGGTTGTTACTACACTACTGAAGGTAGTAAGGCAGCTCAGTGGCTAGACCACTGGGCCTGGAGTCAGGAAGACCTAAGTTCAAATCTGACCTCAGACACTCACTAGTTGTGTGACCCTGAGCAAGTCACTTAACCTTTGTTTGCTCTAATCCACTGGAGAAGGAAATGGCAAACCACTCCAATGTCTTTGCCAAGAAAATCCCATGAACAGTATGGTCCATGGGCTCATAAAGAGTTGAACACGACTGAACAACAGCCACACTCTGGACTACATGTGTGTGTGTCATCTCCTCCATTAGAATATAAGCTCCTTGAAGGCAGGGGCTGATTCATTTTTTTTCTTTCTACGTCAGAAATTAGTCCACTTCTTGACATGTACTAAATGGTTAATAAATGTTTGTTTATTGATTAATTTGGGTGAAACTAATCAATGAAATCATTTGATACTTAGGTTGAGTTAACATTGTGTAGACATATGCTACCGGAAAATATTCTAAGTGGATCACCTGTTAAGATTTTTTTTTCACTGAATTGATCAATTATTGGATGCAAAGTAAACATAGGCTTAATCTTCCATTTTCTCTTTTCTTTTTTCTCCAGTATAAAATTTCCAGAATTGCCACAGAATCTTTAGCAACTCTATATGAAACACAATATGTCTATGGACCCATTGCAACAACAATTTGTGAGTCTTCATTTCATTTTGTTAATACATGGGCACTTGAGAGGCAACCTGGCACAGTGCTGGTCTCTTTGTCAGAAATACCTGGATTCAAGTCCTGTCACACCATATGACCCTAGTCATATCACTTATCTTCTCTGTGCCTTAGGCAACTCTCTAAGACTAAACATTTCCTAGAAAGTGCCAACCTACATTGGTAAAGAGAATTTCCTCATGTTGGAGATTCCTATAACAATGAAATCACAGGTTTAGTCCCTATCCATATGTGAACAGAAGTTGTATTTCAATACATTTGTGTTACAATAACTACATAAACAGGAAATTCTGTCTCTAATTGATAATCCAAGATTAACTCCAAGAAGAATAGAAACCACAGGAATATAGATTTTAGAATTAGAAGTTGACTTTAGAGGCCACCTAGTCTAATTCCCTCATTTTACAGATGAGGAAACTGAGGCACAAAGTGTTAAGGTGACTTGCCCAGGGTCATACTGTAGAAAGTGTTTAAAGAGGGAATTAAAGCCAGATTTTCTGACTCCAAGTTCAAAGTTTTATGTGTCTATCTTCTAACTAAGGACTTATTAAGTATCTATTGTGTGCCAGGCACTATTAGGCTCTGGGGATACAAAAACAAAGATTAAACAGTCACTGCCCTCAAGGAACCTATGTTCTATAGGGGAGTCAACATAGAGAACATGATTCCATTATGAACACTGCTGCTTTGAAATGCAAAGTCTTGGCAGCTGGGTGGTATAATGGATGCCCAGAAGTGGAAGGCAACTAGGTGGTGCAGTGGATAGAGCACTGGCCCTGAAGTCAGGAGGACCTGAGTTCAAATCCGGCGGCAAGTCACTTAACCCCAATTGCCTAAATAAAAAAAAAAAGTGGGAGTCATAGTGGAAGACAGAAAGACCTGAATTCAAATCCTACCTCAAACACTTACTGCTGTGTGAGCCCAAATAAGTCATTTTTTTTTCCTGTCACAGCTTCAGTCTTCTCATCTGTAAAATGGGAATAATGATAACACCCACCTCACAGGGATTTTGTAAAGACTGAATGAGATAACATGAGTAAACCACTCTGCAAACCTTAAAGTGCTACATAAATCAATTTTTAAAAACATAAGGACATGTGTGGGGTGAAAAGATAAGTGAGAATGAAAAGGAACCCTAGTTTTAGAGGAACCAGCCAGAGTAATGACCTAGGGACCCTACTGGGAGATTCATTGGTTTACGTCACAGGGTCCTGGATTTAGAGAAGGAACCTTAGAGATAATGATACACACCACAGTGTTACATAACAAGCTCAGGGCTATTCAGCTAGTTAGTAACTGAAATAGTTAAGGTCTTTAACAGGTCTCAACACTCAGGGCCATTTCCAGTCATCCTGATCTACATTTGACCACTGGATCTAGATGGCTCCAGAGGAGATAGTGAGGCTGGTGACTTTGAACAGCCCTGCCCCACTTAAATACAATTCACTTGCACGTTATGGCATCACCTTCCTAAGTTCATGGTCCTCTTTCAGAACAAAGGACAAACAACTGAAGTAGTATTTTAACTTAGATCTTTCCAACTCTAATCCAGTAGTCTACCTATTCTAATACCCTGATAAGCCCAACAAGTAGCATTTTGCCAGAAATTGTGCTGAGCACTGTACCATATGAGTTAGAGATTCAAAAGTCTTTATATTTTCCTTCCCAAACTGACCCAAGACCCAGAGTGAAACTAAACCTACATATAAAGGTAAAGTGGACCAAAGGAAGGTCACATATAGAGAAAAAGTCTTGCTCATGAAGTTGAGATTACTCAATGTACTACCCTGGCATTCTGGCACCTACTAGGATGCCAGATATGAAAGGCCCAAGAGAACATACCATCTTCTAGGCTTTATGCCTCACTGATGAAAGGTATATCACTGATAGTCTTCTTGTCACTTGAGGTATCATCAAATTTAGATCTATAAAGAACCTTGAATAACAACCATTCCAAGGGTTCTTAACCTGGAATCCACAGATTTCAGGGGGGCCCATAAACTTGAATGCGAAAAAATTACTTTTAAAATATTTTAATATTTTAACTTTTTAAATTATTTATTTTTAAGTTATTTTGGTATTTTTATTTTAAAATTATTTTAAGATTATCTTGATATTATTGATTTCCTTTGTAATCTTATGCATTTTACTTTATGCATGTAAAAACATTCTGAGAAGTTCATAAGCTTCACCAGCCTGCCATGGTGGGGGTTGGGGTGGGGAGAATGATCCCCCCCCAAAAAAAGGTTAAGAACACTTAAACTAATTCAATCACAAAGAGTCAGAGAATAAAGTGATTTTCCCAAGGTGACACAGTTATTTAATGACAGAACTAGGGTATGAATGCAGGTTCTCTGATTCCAAAGTCCAATGTCATTTTTGCACCACTATGTTGTCTCTTACTGAACTCAGTATGTTCCTCATCTGTATTAGAACTCACTAAAAGTCCATTAAAAATCATTAGATTAATAGACTAGATTTAGACTGGATTTTTCTCAATATGTTCCTATGTTTGTCTGATTATTTAACTTTCCTCCTTAATGATTCAGCATCTCAAAAAAGGAGTTTCTAAAAATCAATAAGTCAATTTCCAATCAAATAAGCATAAACACAGGAATAATTTATCAATGGTCAAATCCTTTTTTGATATGCTAATAGCTCCTAATAAAAAAGATCCTTAAATAAGTACACTGTTGAGTTTAAAAAACACCCAGTCAATAATGTCCTCTATAAATGTTTGAGAATCAGCAGGTACTCTCTTCTTACAAATTTACAAATGTAATAGAAAGAGTACCAGATTTGGAAATCAGAAGACCTAGATTCACATTCCAGAGCCTTTTCCTCCTCTTGTATCCCTGGCTTTTAGCACAATGTCTGACATATAGTAGATGCTTAATAAATGTTTATTGATTGACCGATCATTTTTCCTCTTCTGGAAAGGGGAGTTGGACCACATAGCCTCTAAGGACCCCTCTACTATCTTTCCTGTGATGCTGTTGTCCATCAAAAGTCAATCCATTGATGTACTTCAGTAGCACCAGAACATGTGGCGTTGTTGATGAGGATGCAGACACACTGCAGGTTACATTCCACCCATTCTATCTGGAACGATGCACATTTTCTGTAACTGCCTCTCTAGTCTGCTCTTGCTTTCTACCTTCCATGGTTTTTCTTTGCAAATTAAGGTTTGGGAAACGTTAACAATTGCCATTGTGTATCATAAAAGGTAAGAGATTACTCTCAGCCCCACTGCATTATTAGGGGAAAATTGCCACAAATGACTGCGTACCATTAATGCATATCTCTTCCATCTAGTGCTATTAATCCAAATGGGAAATTTCATAGAAAGGAAGCTATTCCATGTGGAATAAAGATGCTCTCCATAATCCTTGGAAGTCCCAACAATTTCTAGAAATTAGTGGTTAAGGCCAACTGGGACCACCATGAAAGAAACTGGCCAAGGTTTCCAAAAAGATACCCACCCACACAACACTACTCAAGCCATCCTAATGGCCATTACCTAGAGGAGTAATGATGTAAGATAGAAGCCATAGCCATTCAGATGTATGTATATCACTTAGCCTTTCTGACCATCCATTTCATCAGTGGTCCTTACCTTACAGGACTGTTGTGATGAAATTAAATTAAATTAAATAAGTGAAATAAAACATGCAAGGCAGTTTGTTGACCCTAAAGTTCTATGTAGATGTCAGCTACTCTACTACCAATCTATGTCAAACTTGTAGGACATGAAGGGAAGAGGGAAAAGATTTATCAATTGTATAGAGCCTACTATATGCCAGGCACTATAGTAAGTGTTTTTTTACAAATATTATCTCATTTGTTCTTCACCACGGCCCTGCAACATAGGTGCCATTATCATCCCCATTTTCCAATTGAGGAAAATAAGGTTAAGTGGCTTGCCCAGGGTCACAAAGTTAGTTAGGATCTGAGACTGGATTTGAACTCAGGTCTTCTTGACTTCAGGTCCAGGGCTTTACCCACTGCACCCACCAGCTGTCTGAACAAGAGTCAAAGAGGCTGAGAAGGTCTAGGTGGAGTACAATCTGCAAAATGAGAAGGTGGATGAGAAAGGATGGCCAGAGAGAGCAAATGAAGCAGTTTCAAAGTACACAGGGAAATAGATATTCAAGAATTATGGAATGTACATCAATGAAATCACTTTCCCTGAAAGAATAAAGTGCAGAGCACCCCAAATTCTTAATGGATTTTTAATCTATTTAGGAGTCAAACAGCACTAAGACTTTTTGGACACTCTGGATAAGTAGTAGTAGCATTGTTCTTATTATTAATCCGATAATATCCATCAAGGGTAACAAATCAGCAGACTTTGTATGTGTTGACACATTTTATTTCTTCATCCTCCTCAACACCAAACAGTTATTGGAAGTTCAGTTTCATTGTTTCTTTTCCTTGCCTAAGGGCATGTTTATTTAAAGATTTTCTTTGAGGGCCATTCCTATTTTCAAAGGGTATTTGTGGAGTTTGATGGATTGTGTTTTGGAAGCCAAGTTCCTAAGGAACTCAGTTAAATAAATAAATCATTAGATTGATCTTAAGGGAGATGAAAGGTTATATGCTTCCTTAGTTTAACTGATTTTATACATTTGATCTTTTACTCATAGAGATATTTTCCCTCATATCTTAATCTTAAATTAATCTTAATAGTAAAATGCTCTCTCTCTCCTTTCTCTCTCTCTCTCTTTCTTTCTTTCCCCCTCCTTCCCTCCACACGTGTGTGCACATTTGAGGAAAATGAAGTTGTGACTTGCCCAGAGTCAATAATAAATGGCATATATGATTTCATTGTTATATATCCCATAATTCTTGAATAAATATTTCCCTGTGTCCTTTAAAAATGCTTATTTGAAGGGCAGTTAGGTGGCGCAGCAGATAGAGCACCGGCCGTGGAGTCAGGAGGACCTGAGTTCAAATACAACCTCACACCAAACACTTGACACTTACTAGCTGTGTGACCCTGGGCAAGTCACTTAACCCCAACTGCCTAAAAAAATAAAAATAAATAAAAATGCTTCATTTGCTCCCTCTGGCCATCCTTTCTCATCAACCTCCCGACTCTGCAGATTGTACTCCAACTAGAGGCAGCCTCTACGACTCTTTTTTTTGTTGTTGAGGCAATTGGGGTTAAGTGACTTGCCCAGGGTCACACAGCTAGTAAGTGTCAAGTGTCTGAGGCTGGATTTGAACTCAAGTCCTCCTGACTCCAAGGCCACAGCTCTATCCACCACACCACCTACCTGCCCCAAGGCTCTACAACTCTTGTTCAGACAGCTGGCGCGTTCAATGGGTTCATATAGTGTGACCCAGGTGTGCGTAGGTTTACACGTTCATGTGGGGGTGGGGGTATGGGTGTGTGTTTTAATATTCCAATGGGGGTAATGTGCTGCAGTGCAAACAGTGGTGAACTGAGAGACAAAAAACCTGGAGAATTACTGCTTGGAAGAGCCCAGACAAATCACTTCAGTTCTAAGGGCCTCTCAGTTTTACTAACTATAAAATGAGGCCTCTAAAGTTCCTTCAAGCACAAAAATCTGTGATCCTATCAAATCCTAACGATCTAGGTGAATGGTCCACTCTGCAAACTGTCTCTGACCAGCTTTTTTTTTTTTTTAACTTTAGTTCAAATTCAACCTCAGATACTTACTAGCTGTGTGACCTTGGGCAAGTCACTTAACCTCTGTCTGCCTCAGTTTTCTCAGCTGTAAAATGAGGATAATAATAATACTTCCTAGGGTTGTTGTGGGGATCAAATGAGGTAATATTTGTAAAAGTACTTAGCATTGGATACAGCACCAACCCTAGAGTCAGGAGGACTTGAGTTCAAATCTGGTCTCAGATACTTACTAGCTGTGTGACCCTGGGCAAGTCATTTAACCCTGATTGCCTCAAATACACACACACACACACACACAAATACACACACACACAAAACAATAACAACTACAAAGTACTTAGCACAATGCCTGGCACATAGGAGGCATACAATGAATGCTTGCTGACTTCCCCTTTTACATTATCTCTTAACCTCCTTAGGCTGGGAAGCAATTCAGATCAGCTTTTGCTATTGTTGTTCAGTTGTATCCAACTCTTCATAACCTCTTTTGGGATTTTCTTGGCAAAGATACTGGAGTGGTTGGCCATTTCCTTCTCCAGCTCACTTGACAGATGAGGAAACTGAGGCATGCAGGGTTAGGTGACTTGCCCAGATTCACACAGCTACTAAGTGTCTGAGGTTGGATTTGAACTCAGGAAGATGAGTCTTTCTGACTTCAGGCCCAATGTTCCATGCACTATGGCACCACCTAGTGCCCGTAAATTGATCAGCTTTTAACCTCTGGTAACCTAGTTTATGTCAATCCCTGCTCATTTGTACACTCATAAACTACTTCCCTTCCTGTCCAGCTAATGTATGTTCAAGGAATATGCATTTATTTTAATGCTGATATAGATGAAATATTTAAAAATTATGGTTTCTCCGATGTCAGTCAACACATGTGTGTGTTCCTGTGTATACATGTGACAGTGTAGAATGGAGTCAAAGCCGCACATCAAGAATGTTTAAAATATTGTCTTATTTGTATTATTTGAGTCACTATAAACATATCTTGCCTACCATCATCAATTAGTTCTGCCTAAACAAGGCACTGGGCAAAATAACCTTACAGAGAGCAGTTGTTTCTCTAGTTATACCTCAATACTTCAGTTGCCTGGTCAACATTATTATTACCCAGGATTTGGGAATGGTAAGGTGGAGTTTGGTTATCATATATTGACAACATTGGTTAGTCAACATTACATTGGGTATACCAGCATTCTCTACCATTAGTGCAGTATAAAACATATGTGTGTGTGTGTGTATATATATATATCTATATATATCTATATATATATATATACATATATATTAAATATTTAACTTTGCTTCAGTAAATTTCCTCTTAGGGAAAAAAATGTTAACAGTTCCCTCTAATGTAATGCTTATATTTTACAGACCCAACCTCAGGCTCGTCTGTAGACTGGGCTTACGATATGGGCATCAAGCGTTCATTTGCTTTCGAACTCCGAGATAAAGGCAGATATGGTTTTCTCCTCCCAGAATCTCAGATAAAGGCAACCTGCAAAGAGACCATGTTGGCTGTCAAATCTATCGCCAAATATATCCTCAAGCATCCTTTATAAACATTTTCCCATTCTATAATAAGCCAATTAATTCCCTTTTCATTGTAATGAATATATATAACTTCCGTAATACTCAAGTTAGCCCTTAATGAATTATCTTCCTTGCCTGGAAAATTCTCATCCTTAAGTCTTCATAACTCCATTCAACTAATTCCTTTATTCATTCTCTCACTAACCCAGTTAGCTTTTGCTTGCCATAGTACACAGCCTAACAAAGGGAGTTGAATCAAGAAAAACAAAGATCCTTTGATCCCTTTCCCTGCTAAAGATAAAGCACAGTCAAAAAAGAAAGAGCTGTCCTTTAGCATTCTGCAAAGTTGATTGTTTGATAGTGTTTGTATATTACTGCTTTAAACTAGTCTAGGAGGGCCTGCGGTCCCTCTATGGAGTGGGTTCCAGAAAAAAAAAAAATTAGATTCAGAGATTGTTTGAGTTGTCCATGACCTTAGAAATCATTTAGTCTAATCTTTTCATTTTACCAATGAGGAAATGGAAGTCCAAAAACGTGAAGCCAATTGCCAAATCATGTAGCTAATTAGTGGTAGCAAATCTCACATTCTTTCTCAGAGCCCTTAATACCTAGTCAAAGTGTGTCTTTCCACTCCTCCTGAATCACATTTTCCCATCATAGTCTCATTATCACATTGCAAATTTTCAGAACTTCAAAAATGCCTGTATATTCCCTTCTTCCTCCCTACCAAAAAAAAATGCTAAAACTTAAAAAGATACATCTACAATTTAAGATTCTTATTAAGTTGTGCTTTCATTCATAATTCAAAATTGACTATATATTGTATCATGCTGTTAAGAATTACCTGTGGAACTCAAACTCTTATAAAAGTGAATGTTGAAAACTAAAATAATTAATTAATTAATTAATTAATTGCCTGAAATATTCACAAGTTCAATTTCTCAATGTATATTTATTGAATTAGCCAAAGTAAATATGGGTCATGTTTCTATATAGCAACAAAAATATGCTATGGTAGGAAACAAAATCTTCTGTAATGGAAAGATGGAAAGTCCTGTTTCTTATCTTCAAGTCAATTCTCCCCAACACATTTTTCATTAATTCATAGAATTTACAGTCTGTCATATATTGCCAAGATTTCCTGCCAAAGCTCTGAGCTGCCATGTGCCAAGTGAGTTCTGGGCTATGATGTGAGTCCTTCCCTGGTTCAGAAGAGAGCTGGCTAGAAAAGGTTGTTTTAAGAGTAATCCTCTAAGCTCTGGGTCTAACCTAGGATTTTCAGGTAGATTTCCCTCCAGTCTGCAACCGCAGTGTGAGATGTATTTCCCAGCCACTCAAGTTCCACTCCAAGATTTGTCAAGATGTGAGAGATGAAAAGGTTGAGTGGAGGTGCTGTCCCTTAGTGTCTGCACAGATGACTGTTCTGAGTACTCTAGGAGCCATTTTTGTGGATTATAAATGATCCTAAAACACAAAGTCACATTAAATCTGGTGGCAGCTCCCACTAACCTGCCAAAGGGGAGCAGATGTACCTGGACTACCTGCAATGTGTTCTGAGAATTTGCATCTTCCTCGCCCCCTCCCCAGGTTGACTATCTGGCCAGTGGAGAAATTGGAAGAACATCTCAGAATAAGACTTCTGGTCATTTAATGACCTGGCATAGAATATCATGCAACACTCCCTCAAAAAAATGACTAAAATAACAACATTTAGTTGTAGAAAAAATTCATCCCTTCTGGAGATGGCGTCATTGACCCCAAGCATCATTATGTATAAAGATAGTTCAGACTATGGCAAATCCATAAAGCTTGGTGTATAGGATTTCCATGCTTAAATGCACACAAATGCATATTCTTTGCCCATTTTTTAATGTGACAAAAAATTCACTTACTTAGTCTATTTGTTTTCCTGATAATTTTTTCACATCATGCTTCAAGTATCATTAGCCCAAAGCATTTCTTTAGCTCTGTCTTTGCAAGATGCTATGTCAGCACTATACAAATTGAGCTAGAGAAATGGTCATCACCCCAAAGTGTTTATAATGGATTAAAATGAACACACATAGTCATTCGAGTAGGAAAGTGAAGATTCGACTTTTTTTCAGAGAGATGATGTAAGGAACTTAATTAGTTCCTTCAGTGTTTGGCCATTTGGTATCCATCACTTTTCAGAGCTAAAGTATCCTAGTCTGACTAAGTAAGATGGTTTCATTCAAGTAGATGGCACATGTGAATGGCGAGAGAGGAAAGGAAGCAGATGGAGGAGGAAGGTTGAGTTTGAATTATTAGAGACATTTGTTTGGTATGTGTGTATCTGCTGGACAAGTAGTTCTTGAAAGAATTAGAAATTCATAAAAGAAGGGGCAGATGGGGTTATTGTCTAAG